GGCCCCCAGGCAATCGTGGCCCCCCCATTCCCCTAACTGGGCACTCTGACCCCCAGGGCATTGTGACCCCCCCATTCCCCTAACTGGGCGCTCTGACCCCCAGGGCATTGTGACCCCTCCATTCCCCTAACTGGGCGCTCTGACCCCCAGGGCATTGTGACCCCCCCATTCCCCTAACTGGGCACTCTGACCCCCCCACCCCAGGGGTGGCTGCATCTCCTTGCCGGGCCAGGGACCCTGTATAAACAGCCCCACTCCCCACCCCAGGGGTGGCTGCATCTCCTTGCCGGGCCAGGGACCCTGTATAAACAGCCCCACTCCCCACCCCAGGGGTGGCTGCATCTCCTTGCCGGGCCAGGGACCCTGTATAAACAGCCCCACTCCCCACCCCAGGGGTGGCTGCATCTCCTTGCCGGGCCAGGGACCCTGTATAAACAGCCCCACTCCCCACCCCAGGGGTGGCTGCATCTCCTTGCCGGGCCAGGGACCCTGTATAAACAGCCCCACTCCCCACCCCAGGGGTGGCTGCATCTCCTTGCCGGGCCAGGGACCCTGTATAAACAGCCCCACTCCCCACCCCAGGGGTGGCTGCATCTCCTTGCCGGGCCAGGGACCCTGTATAAACAGCCCCACTCCCCACCCCAGGGGTGGCTGCATCTCCTTGCCGGGCCAGGGACCCTGTATAAACAGCCCCACTCCCCACCCCAGGGGTGGCTGCATCTCCTTGCCGGGCCAGGGACCCTGTATAAACAGCCCCACTCCCCACCCCAGGGGTGGCTGCATCTCCTTGCCGGGCCAGGGACCCTGTATAAACAGCCCCACTCCCCACCCCAGGGGTGGCTGCATCTCCTTGCCGGGCCAGGGACCCTGTATAAACAGCCCCACTCCCCACCCCAGGGGTGGCTGCATCTCCTTGCCGGGCCAGGGACCCTGTATAAACAGCCCCACTCCCCACCCCAGGGGTGGCTGCATCTCCTTGCCGGGCCAGGGACCCTGTATAAACAGCCCCACTCCCCACCCCAGGGGTGGCTGCATCTCCTTGCCGGGCCAGGGACCCTGTATAAACAGCCCCACTCCCCACCCCAGGGGTGGCTGCATCTCCTTGCCGGGCCAGGGACCCTGTATAAACAGCCCCACTCCCCACCCCAGGGGTGGCTGCATCTCCTTGCCGGGCCAGGGACCCTGTATAAACAGCCCCACTCCCCACCCCAGGGGTGGCTGCATCTCCTTGCCGGGCCAGGGACCCTGTATAAACAGCCCCACTCCCCACCCCAGGGGTGGCTGCATCTCCTTGCCGGGCCAGGGACCCTGTATAAACAGCCCCACTCCCCACCCCAGGGGTGGCTGCATCTCCTTGCCGGGCCAGGGACCCTGTATAAACAGCCCCACTCCCCACCCCAGGGGTGGCTGCATCTCCTTGCCGGGCCAGGGACCCTGTATAAACAGCCCCACTCCCCACCCCAGGGGTGGCTGCATCTCCTTGCCGGGCCAGGGACCCTGTATAAACAGCCCCACTCCCCACCCCAGGGGTGGCTGCATCTCCTTGCCGGGCCAGGGACCCTGTATAAACAGCCCCACTCCCCACCCCAGGGGTGGCTGCATCTCCTTGCCGGGCCAGGGACCCTGTATAAACAGCCCCACTCCCCACCCCAGGGGTGGCTGCATCTCCTTGCCGGGCCAGGGACCCTGTATAAACAGCCCCACTCCCCACCCCGGAGGTGGCTGCATCTCCTTGCCGGGCCAGGGACCCTGTATAAACAGCCCCACTCCCCACCCCAGAGGTGGCTGCATCTCCTTGCCGGGCCAGGGACCCTGTATAAATAGCCCCATTCCCCACTCCAGAGGTGGCAGCATCTCAGCACTGGCAAGGGACCCTGAGACAGCTGCAGCTCAGTGCCAGGTAAACTTTAGTGCCATTAGGCTGGTGCCTGACCTCTGTCACCGACACTGCTGGTTGCTGCGTGTGTGAGAGCTTTTCTACAAGCTGGAGGTTGCAGTGGCCTGGGATTGGGATGAAGACAGTTGCCCATTGTTCTTTGCTAGGGAATCGCAGCTGCCACTCTTATTTCCAGCCCCAGGGACAGTACAGTACCATATAGTATTGGAAGGCTGTGGCAGGGAGACGCTGCAGGATCTCCCTGTTTCCCTTCCAGGTACTGCTACACCTGTCAGTCCCATGTGCCCCCCCGCTGCCACCACTGCTACACCTGCAATGTGTGCATGTTGCGCCGGGACCACCACTGTGTGCTGCTGGGCCAGTGCGTGGGCTACCGTAACTACCGTTACTTCCTGTGCCTCCTACTGCATGGCTGGGTGGCCCTGCTCTACGCCAGCCTGCTCAATGCTGACATCTTCATGGCCCTGCTGAATGAAGGAGTCACCCTGCACAGCATCCTCCTCCTCTTCGTGCCATGGCTCATGCTGCTGACGGGTACAGCTGTGGCAGAATCTGCTGGGAGAAGTCTGTCCACATGTGGGGGCTGGGCACCACTGGTTCCTCTGGAATCAAACTGTTCTCAGATAGTTTTATTAAAACATCTTGGGAAATATCCAGATAAAAAACTTTGTGAGTTGAGGCTGAGCCTCGGGAACATCTGCCCAAGATTTGGTGATTCTGGGTATGAGCCAGAGGCTCCATAAAGGGCCCTGATGTATAGATTGCTGATGCTCTACCCTCTAAAAATAGAGCCATTTGGGACATCTTGGAAACTGAGGCACCTCTAAATCAGATGTTGCTTTTGCAGATTGTGGGCTGTGTTGCATACCTTCAGGGCTTTTCCTGCATAGCCAGTTTCTTAGAAACCTCACAGCCCGTTCCTCTGAGGCAACTGTGATATCTCTCTATAAACAGTTCCTGTGCTCTACCTCAGAGGCAGCTGCATGTTAGTGGAACAGGGAGCAGAGCAGGGTTAATGGGAACATGCCAAGGCCTGCTTGTTTCTGGGGGATGCCTGGCTCCTAGTTGCCCTACCACTGACAGCTCCCCCTTGTGTTTCTCCAGGCCAGGTGAGCACCTCGACTTTCATGTATGCTTTCTTGGCTGACACCTGTGTGGTTGGTTTCCTTTTCTGCTCCGGTTTCCTGTTCTTCCATGTGCTGCTGAGCCTGCGTGGCCAGACGGTCAGAGAGTGGTTTGGGGAGAACCGCTGCTATGACCTGGGCTGGCACCACAACCTGCAAGAGGCATTGGGGGACAGGTGGCACCTCGTCTGGCTGTGCCCGCTCCTGGTGTCCACTCTTCCTGGGGATGGAGTGGCCTTCAAGAGAAGAGCTCTCGGGACTGAGCCCTTTGCCAAGCCAGTTGTTTTCTGAAGGTGGGTTCAGGAGCCAACCCCATGCTGAAGGGCAAGCAGTGCCAGGATCCCAGCCACGTTGCCTACAGCAGCTGACTGGTATAATGTGTAGGGTGCTGGGGTGCAGGACTCCTGGGTTCTGTTTCCAGCTCTGTGGTTGACATTGGACAAGAAGAGAGTCTCTAAATACTCAAGAAATAAGAGGAAGACTAAGGGAAGCGTAGGTCATTACTCAACCGGGGAGGAGAACTTATAATGGAGGAGAGGAGAGACGGTTGAAGTGTTTAATGCCTTTTTTTGCTTCACTCATCACTAAAAAGTTCACTGGGACCAGATGCTTAACACAGTTACTATTAGCAAGGGGAAAGGATCTCAGACCAGGCTAGGGAAAAACAGATTAAAAGAGATTGGTGGGAGAAGGGGGTATGCGTTAGTCTTTATGCTCTTGTAAAGAGATCAACGTTCTCCATCTCCACTGAAGGTAGGATAGAAGGTCAGGGCTAAATGTGTAGCAAGAGAGATTTGGGGTAGAAGATACTAGGAAAACTTCCTAACTTAATGGTAGTTAAGCTGTAGAGTGGGGGAGATTGTGGAATCCCCATCAGGGAGGTTGTTAAGAATAGGCTGGACAAATACTTGTCAGGGATGATCTGGGTTTTACTTGGTCCTGGTTCAGTGCAGCGTACTGGACTTGATAAGTTCTTGAGGACTATTCCAGCCCTGCAGTTCTGTGATTCTGTAATATTATTAAGCAATATGTATTCCAGTTGCCAGGGCCTGATGAAAATTGCCCAGTGTTTTTCGAGGAATTAGTTGCAGCAATCTAAGAGCCGTTGGAGCAGGGGCAGGCTAAATACAGCCTGTGGGACAGATCTGGCCCACCAAACATTTGGATTGGGCCCTCTGTAGCCTAGCAGGACCCTGAGGCAGGCTCCCTGGCTGCCACAGCCCCACACGCTGCTCAAAGCAGCCAGGTGCTGAGGCCAGCCTGTGTGTCTATGCCGCAGTTTGTAAGCACCTAGGCGATAATGGGGTAATACGTAGTAACCAATGTAGCTTTGCTATGAACAAATCATACCAAACCAATGTAATGTCCTTCTTTGCCGGGGTCACTGGCCTAGGGGATAAGAAGGAAGCAGTAGACAAGATATCTGGGCTTTAGGAAAGCTTTTGATGCAATCCTGGACAGTCTCAAAGTAAACTAGGGACATGTTTTCTAGATGAAATTGCTATAATGTGGCTGCACAACTGGTTGGATAACCATCCTCCGAGCGGTTCTCCATGGTTCCCTGTCAGACTAGGAGGTTATATCCAGTGGGGCTGTGCAGGCATCTGTCCTGGATCCAGTGCTATTCAGTATTTGCACTAATGCCTTGGCTGATGGAGTGAAGAGCATGATTGTTAAAATGTGCAGATGATGCCATGCTGGGAGGAGCTGCAAGCACTTTGGTGCACAGAATTAGAATGAAAAATGCTGGCGATAACCTGGAGACCTGGTCTGAAAGGAGCAAGGTGCATGGCAGTGTGCAGTACTCCATCCTTTTCTAAATGCTAAAAGGCACAGCTACCAAATGGAGGCATCCTGGGTAGGCTGCAGAGCTGCAGGAAAGGCTCTGGGGTGGAGTCGATCACATTAAACATAAGCCAAGAGCATGATGCTGATGGAAAAAAGTCTCTGTCATTTTGGGCTCTGTTAGCAGGAGGGGCAGATGTAAGACATGGAGGTAAATGCTCTGCTCAGCACCGTGGCGCCTCTGCAGGAGAGCTGGGTTCTGTCTTGTGCCCCACACTTTAGGAAAGCTCTGAACTGGGGAGTGCAGAGGAGAACAAGGATTTGTGAGGAACAGTTGAAAGAATGGGTTATGTTTAGGGAAGAGAACTGAAGGGGGACATAAGTCTTCAAATATATGTATAGAAAGGGCTGTGGTAAAGAGGAAGGTGAGTGATTGTTCTCCATGCCCAACTGGAGTAGGACAAGAAGTAAATGGCTGAATTCACAGCATACAGGGGAAGGGAGACAGGCCCTGCTCCAACAGCTCAGTCTGAACAGACAAATGATGGAAAGAAAATAGGCACCAAGAGAGGGAAGGGACTCACCCAAAGTCACTTTGAGAGTCAGCAGGAGAGCCGGGGCAGAACTCAGAAGTCTTGGATCCCAGACCGTCCCCCCTGCTCTAACCACTAGATCCCTCTCCTCTCCTAGTACTGGGGGTGGAACCCAGGTCCTGTTTCCCAGCCTTCACACTGTAACCCAGTAGCCTAGCACCCTGCTCCATAATCAGTTTATCCCAAGCTTAGGCAGTTCTGCTCCAGTCATTGCTGCTTGTTGAGCTGGCAGCCTCAGGCTTGTGAGAAGGGGAGTGAATTTGTGCTGGCCAGTCTGTGGCTGAGAGTCAGGGATCATTTCCCACCCCATCTCCCGCAGCTGTCAGGCATTGCAAGGGGCTAGAGGGAGGACACAAAATTGCTCTGGGTTTGTCCCATTGGAGGCCTGGCCCATGTCATCTCTGATTCCTCTCTGATTGCAGGTTTCCTTCCGGATGGCCCTACAGGGGAGCTGACTCTGGCTTTGCCTCTCCTGCTGAGGGGTGAGTGTCAAGCACTGCTCTGCCCCATGGGTTACTGGCACCTCCATCTGACATGGGTCCTGACGCTGCCCGGGGGTGACCCTGTGTCCCATCTGAGCCCTGTCTGCACTGGACTCTGCAGCTGTGGGGACTGTTGTGCCAAGCACTGGGCAGGCTCCAGCTGAGACTGAGGGGACCTGTTGCACTGGGCACGATGCAGCTGGAGCCCCATTGTTCCAAATACAGACTGAGACAGTCGCTGCCCTGACGACGCACAGCCTTAACAGGCCCACGGTGGGAGGGTAAACAGGCACCAGTTTGGGGCCCAGAGCCCTGGCTCCCAGCCCAGTGCCCTCCCAACTGCACTAATCTGTTGTGGTTCCCAGTTCTGCTCCTTTCCAATCCCTAGCAGCACAAGGCTGCCCTTCTGCAACCCCAGAGCTGAACCTGCTGGTCTGCAGCATTTGCACAGCTCTCCCCTGGCCTGGCCAAGCAGGAAAGAGGCTGGAGCCATCTTACCAGTCCCTATCACAGGTAACTGTCCCTCAGACACCCTGTTCCCAGTGGTCTCCAATAAAGGCTCCCAGCCCAAGGTGCCTGTAGAGCAATTTGTCTGATTCGGGAGGGAGGGGGGGCATTTTC